TGGTGGCATAGAGCCTAAGACATTTGACTGCTAACCAAGGCTGCTAACTCATCAGCCATTCCTCAGAAGGAAGGTTGGACAATCTACTTCCGTAGTGATACCACCTCAGAAACCCAAGGAGAGGTCACTATGAGTCAGATCCAACTAGATGGCAGTGTGTGTATGTGTGTGCATGATAATTATTTTAAAAAATATTTTGGGAGTGTATGAATTAACTTGTTTTTTAACTTTATGATAAGCTAAGTTGTAGCCAAGTTCTGTCACATTTCTATATCACAGTTTAGTTTAAAGCATACTTTCTAGGCATCAGAACATGATAGCTAATAACAAGAGAGCAGCCATTGTCTAACCAAGACAGATTATGAAGCAGTCATTGTGGTAGATGGCATGGCAATATAAATACAATTGTACTATTTAACCATACACATTTCTAAATTTATGTGATGAATTAGCTTTTCCTTTTTTGGAATGCTCTTCACCTGCTAGTTTGTAAGGCAAACTCCTTTAAGATTTTATATCTTTGGGAAGTTTCTTTTGATACTTCAAACTATATTTGGATAGCCCCTATCCTTTTCCATAGACTTTGGGCATGCTTCTCTTGCTGAAAGAGGTAGTGAGGCAGTAAGTTATAGTAAAGAGTATATTATGGAATCAGCATCAATTTCTGAGTGATCTGCTAGTTTTTAACTTATCCAACCTGTTATATCACTTGTAAAATAGAGGTGATAAAATAATATCTATTTTTTAGAGTTGTTATAAGAATTATTAATATGTGCATGCCAAACAAAGAAACACACAGACACTAGTTCTGTGCCCCACATCTTCAGGATGCACAATACACAGATGATGTAATATATTACAGGGGAACCAGAACTATTGTATTCTCACACAACATGTGTGTGAATATAAACTGAGTAGAACATTATCTTTTGGCTTCTCTAACATCACATACTCTTGTTTTTTCTCCTGACTCTCTGTGTTGCCTCAGTTTCTCAGCTAGCTTTCCATAACCTGACTTCCCAATGTGAGTTACTTTTCAGCTTAACCTTTTGACTATTTATGCTTGCTCTCCAGGTAATGTCATTTATTTATTACAATTTACATTTCTAGCCTAAAACTTTCCTCTAAGCTATAGCCATATATATCCAATTTCAAGTGTTTGATACTTGTAGCTGGATGTCTCAAAACCATCTCAAATACAACATTATCAAAAGAGTACCATTCTTTTCCCTCTATCTCCTATCTGTTTCTGTTTAAGTCTATCCATCTCTGGGAGTGATTCCAAAATGCACTAGTTTCTCTTAGAAAAACCTTGGAAACTTGGATGTACACCATGATTCCTCTCTCTACCTTACTATCCACATCCAGTCCATTAGAAAGTGCAGTTAACTCTACTTGCAAAATATATCTGATTGTGTCCATTTCTTTCCATACCCCCAATAACCAATCAGAGCCAAGCCACACCCATTTCTTATCTGTGTTATTACAGGAGTCCCCTAATTAGATTTCCCCAATCTGTTATCCAGAATATTTTTTAGTGTTAGATTTAATGGTGTCAGTGATTCGCTCATGTCTCTTCAATGGGTTTCTGTTATACTTAACATCCAAATTCCTTGTAAGAGCTTATAAATCCTACATGATCTGGATCTTTCTTATCTTTCTAACCTCATCCTATGCCAGTACCCATACCAGTATTCATACTTTAGCCTCACTTTCACATGATTCTTCTTCTTTCCCTTCTCTAATTCGTTTTGTGGTTCTTAGCATTCATCAGGTCTTGGGTAAAATCACCTTTTAGAATATCCTTCCTTAGCCATTCTTTATAAGTTAGTATATCATTATGCTATTCTTTTTAATTTTATTTTCTTCATTGCAGTTTAGATAGTGTAATTATTTGTTTACTTGATTATTATCTCATTTTCTTCTCTTTGACCTATAAGCTTCAGAAGTATCTTGTTGTTGCATTGTTAGGTGCCATTGAGTTGGTTCGACTCATTGTGACTCTGTGTACAACAGAATGAAACACTTCCTGATCCTGCACCATCCTCATGATCACTACACTTGAGCCCATTGTTGTAGCCACTGTGTCAGTCTATCTCATTGAGGGTCATCCCCTTTTACACTGACTCTCTACTTTACCCAGTATAATATCCTTCTCCAGGAACCCATGAGTGTAGTGAGTATTTATACCTTGCTCACTCTTGAAATCGCTATTTATAGCAGAGTGTCATAGTATTAAAAAAAACAAACTCATGGCCATTGTGTTGATTCCAACTCATAGTGACCCTCATTGGGTTTCTGAGGTGACAAATCTTTATGGAAGTAGTTTGATCCATCTGCCTTCCACAGAGCAGCTAGGGAGTTTGAACCACCAACCTTCTGGTTAGCAGTCAAATGCCTTAAGCACTACACCAACCAGAGCTCATGTCATAGCATAAACATGTCAAAAATATATTTTAGATGAGCAAATGAATAAATTCATGATTTGTGATAGTTGCTCAATGAGAAATAATGATCATAATTGTCAGTGCACATCAGTGCACTTTTTTATTACATTAGTTTCTCCCACTCAATAGTTAGTACATATTTATTGAATGAGTTATTTAACTAATTTAGCCTATAATAGAAAGACAGTTTTATAATGTAGTATGTAAACTACAGCCCAATATATAACCCAAGCCAAGCTCGCTTCTATATAGTTGATTCTGACTCACAGAAACTCTGTAGGTCAGAATAGAACTGCGCCATAGGGTCTTCAGGCTGTAAATCTTTATGGAAGTAGACTGTCTCTTCTTTCTCCTGTGCAGCAGCTAATGGTTTCAAACTGCCAACATTGTGATTAGCAACCAAATGCTTTAACCACTGTACCACCAGAGCTCCTCCCTAATATATAAGGTTTTCCTGAAATAATTAATAAAATGCATGAAACTGATATTTCAGCTTCATCAGTTTGATGGGCTGGTTATAGTCTCATATCACTATGATGCTCTTATGTACCTAAATTAGCTCTATTTTCTTACTGTTTGCTCACTAACATTTGGGATTTAAGGAAGAATTGTGATTACTTTTTCTCCAGGATTTTCCTTAGTTTCTATGGTAGAATTCACATGATCATAAAAGCAACCATTGGTCCCAAGGTCTTTGGCCTAAGGAAAGTGAAGGGCAGACTTGAAATATATTCTATTTGAAAATATTCAGAAAATTTCCCAATGAGAAAATTAATAGCAGTTTTTGTTCTCTCCCTCCCCCACCCTTTGTCTACAATACCAACTATATACCCTAAGTGTTTTTTCCCCATAAATATTGCCAATTTTTTTTTATTTATGTTTTATTCTGCAACATGTAGTTATTTGAATGAGGTTCTTTTTTTTTTTTTTTTTTTTTTTTTTAGTGTTTGGCACTATACAGAGAGAGCCTATCACTGTTGCCATGGGAAACAACTGTAAAAGTGAGGTGGGAGTGGTAATTGGAAATGTGATTCAGTCTACATATATTTTGTAACTGGCCTGGAATTTTCACAGATCTGAAGCATTTTGGAAACTTTTAAGACTATTGAAGAAGCATTATAATTGCATAAATTCCTAAAGAAACATCACCTGTCTTTTAAAGATGGTGCTTAAAGAGTTATTTTAAAACAATTTGAGATGCCTTGCTGGCAGGCTTACAAAGTTAGTTTCTAACTAATCCCTTTAAATAATCTGAATAATTAATTTGTCAGTTCCCTTTTACAAATCTTGCTAGAATTTGGTGTAACCAACTTGGGACAAAATTTCCTTCTTAGCAAGAGTTAAAACTGAAATAAATGACTGTATTCATAGCTATACTAAGTTTCTACTTGGAAAGATACTTCCAAACATACATTCTTCCAGCCTTTTGAGCCTTCTCAGTGTGGAAATTTTTCCTGGATCAGGGCTAGAGGACTGATTACTGTGAATTTTATTACAAGACGTAATTACTTTGAAGAGTCTCTGGAGGACTAAGTGAGTTGCCAGAGAATTTTCTGTTCTCACCACCTAGCCGCAAAATGCCCTTGGAAGTTTAATAACAAAAAATGTATCTTGTCTTGAAATATATAGCCATATTCATATCCCAAAGCATTTTCATAGTTGATATCTTATGTTGATTCCCAGTGGCCAGCCTAGCATGTATTATCCCCATTTTTCAGATGAGAAAATCCGGGTGTTGAGAAGTTAAAGAGTTTCCTAAATACTTCTAAAATAGCAGAGCTGGGACTTGAAACTGATTATACGTTTCTCCAAAATTTGGTACTCATTTTCACTATACCTTGCTATATATTTGGGAAGCATTTTTCTTCGTAATATCTCAACCATCATTCTCCTACCGGATAGCTCACTGAACTTGTAAATACCCTCCTGACCTCCTGTCTATCTGATATGTAAACAAGACACAATATTTATTCTTGGGTAGATTATCCAAACTGCTTTATATTGTATTTGAGGCAGTGGTATTTAAGCTGTTTTAAAAGATAACTTTAGCTTTGTAATTGCATAATTAATATGTGTTCAAAGCTATAAACTTGGAAACAAGCAATAAGTAGAATGAAAATTAAAACCAAATGACAAATACCCACACTCCTCTCACCTAGAGACCACCAAAGTTGAATATTTTGAGGTACGTACATACTCTCTAAAGTTTTCTGTTCATGACATAGTTTTGCTTCTAGAATACTCTCTAACTTCTACCTAATAGTCTAGTTCTGCTTGCCACTGAGGAGATTTGGTTTTGTATACTCCAGATGAACAAATGAAAGGATATTAATCTAAGTAAACCAAGATCTAGAAGCTACATCAGCAGCTTCATCAAATTACAAAGACAGAAAAATGAGTTAGAAAGATTTTAAGATTTTTGTTTTCTTTTGATTTGCATAATCAGAGCTCTCTCTTTCCTACTTGCATGGACTATTGGAGATTGCCCAAACTAGCTGTACTTTTGCTGTTAAAATTCATGCTTTTTTTTTTTTTTTTCTTTTCCTTTTCAGATTTTGAAGATCATGATCACATGGATGCATCTAAATAAATGGTACCTGGGTACATGCTGGTCCTGTAGAGAGCACATCTAAACAGCTGGCTAATTTCCTGGTTTACCACTCAACATAAAACATTGCTTGATTCTATCCATCAGAACCCCCTAATTTTCCCCACCATGCTATCTTTATGTGCTTGATCTCCTTTCCTAAAATGGTCCTTCTGTTGATCCTGGCAGTCCTATTTTTGAAAGAAGATGTCTGTGGGAGTGCACAGTCCAATGAAAGGAGGGTGGTGGCTCACATGCCAGGTGACATCATTATCGGAGCTCTCTTCTCTGTCCATCACCAGCCCACAGTGGACAAAGTTCATGAGAGGAAGTGCGGGGCAGTCCGTGAACAGTATGGCATTCAGAGAGTGGAGGCCATGCTGCACACTCTGGAAAGGATCAACTCAGATCCCACTCTCTTGCCCAACATTACTCTGGGCTGTGAGATAAGAGATTCTTGCTGGCATTCAGCTGTGGCCCTAGAGCAGAGCATTGAGTTTATAAGGGACTCCCTCATTTCTTCAGAAGAGGAAGAGGGCTTGGTGCGCTGTGTGGATGGCTCTTCCTCTTCTTTCCGCTCCAAGAAGCCCATAGTAGGGGTCATTGGACCTGGCTCCAGTTCTGTGGCCATTCAGGTCCAGAACTTGCTCCAGCTTTTCAACATACCTCAGATTGCTTACTCGGCAACGAGCATGGATCTGAGTGACAAGACTCTATTCAAGTACTTCATGAGGGTTGTTCCCTCAGATGCCCAGCAGGCACGGGCTATGGTGGACATAGTAAAGAGATACAACTGGACATATGTGTCAGCTGTGCACACAGAAGGTATGTTTCTTTACATCCATAAAGTATATCTTATTATGTACCCAGCAGCTTCCAAGTTAAAATGTTATGTTTTCAAAGAGTACATAATTCCTTATTATTTTGGATCTTTTAAGTTGTCCCAGTTTTACCAGTACTACTAAGAAGGATCTGGATGGCAGATGTCTAGAAAAACAGATTTAAACTAATATGAAGTGTATGTGGCTATAATTTGGCAAAATGGAGATTTTTTTTTTTGAGTATGCATCACTTATTTGTATTTCTGGTATAATGATGTTTTTTTTTTGTTGTTATTTGTTACTAGAAGTTTATAAGTTTTCTGAATTTTCATTTAATACTTCACACTTACAACATTTTAGGAAGGATACAACTGCCTCTAATTTCTTATATAGAGAAGGACATATAAAGAGACAAAAGTATTAGAAAGCAGCTGGTTCTAGCTCCAGTGAGCTATTATAGAAAATTAAAAAGAGATTATTCTTACAACTATTTTTCCATAATGTGTGTGGTCAAATAGATATGTAAATGGATATATATATATAATTATGTATATAAGTACGTTACCTTCTTAATGTCTTCAAAACATGTAAGTCTAATTCTTTAGCAGGAAATTTGGGCTGAATTAATGCTTGGTCTAAATTATGTTCAGAATAGTAAATGTGTGAGTGATATATACATTTCTTCCAACCAGATTATTCCTATATGTGATATTATTCCTGTAGTCATTCTTCAATTATGTGGCTTCAATTTTTAAAAGCTTGATTGTTTTAAAAAAGAACATAAGTGTGAATTAATTTTATCCTTATATAGAACATACTTCGGAAGTATAATGTTTAACAATTCACCTTTAGTTTGCTTTGATATTCATTGTTCTTTATGTTCAAATCATAGTGAGGAAAGAAAATATGAGATTTTATAGTAAATAATTTTAGTAGCCAGTTATGTTACTTACAGTGCCTTTAAAATGCTTTTGTATGCATTATTCATTAATTATGAAGCAAGGCTGTTTGGGATAGGTTTAATTGCCACCACTTGACGCGTTAGCTGACCTAGTACCTAGAAAGATGTTAAGAGTCTCATTTTACCATTTTTCTAGAATAATACTTTTTCTAGGAGAATATGCTGCATATACTAAATAGTGTACATTTTCAGAATAATGAAGAAGGCACACAATACTTTTTATAGCTAATTAAATAATTGTGAGGGTTAATTGAAATTTAAAAAATCTTGCCGTAATTTTACCAATGTGGTTCAAACAATTCAATATTGTACCGTGTGGGGTTGAGTTACTAGGAAATTAACAAAAAAACCAGCAAGAATCTACTTCAGAGATTGGAAATCAATCACCAATCAGATATAGCAAATTTTCATTATCAAGTAGAATGATATCATGAGTTTCAGTGTACAGGCATTCTTACTAATACTATTCAGAGCTGCACAAATATAAAATGGACTTCTGTACTGGATGGAGACTTTCCTGCCTTTAAAAATGTTCATGTACAAGTTGATTGTTTCTCTAGGGTATTATTGACATATATTTTAAGCAATGTATCATGGTATGTTTGACAGTATTTTTAATTCTGAGATTTTCTTCTTATGCAACTGCTGATTTGTTTGATTCTCATAACAAGGTGGTGATACTGAGAACACAGACATTTTATTCCCATTTTTTAATGTAAAATCTTTAAGAGTTTAAATAATCTAATATGCCTAATAGTAATTTCAGAGCCAGAAGTGGTGGTCATAGATATTGACCTCTAGTTAAGTGTACTGTTATAATCTAACAGAATCCAATGGGGTTGCACCCTGATGATATATTTTTGCAACACAGATTCATTAATCACAAATTCATGCAAAGCCCTTTGATAGTCCTGTAGAGGGCAATCCTATGTTTCATATACTACCTGTCTGCAAGGAACTTGCAGTCTTACACATGAGATGAGACATGTATTATCATTCCCTGTATAACTGTAATTCAAGATGACATAAAGTTACAAATAAATCTCGAAAGGAAATCAATATAGAAAAAAAAAAAAATCACCTCCGAGTATATGCTTAGGGAGGTCATAGTGGAAAGCTAAATGAAATAAATGGAATTTCATAGTTCAATTTTAACAGGAAGAATTCTGACAGTTGGTGAAAATTAAAAAAGGATGTATTTCTAGTGAAGAGCATGAGGGAATATGAGGAGGTAAGAAAGTAAAAGGTAGATTTGCAAAAGGCCAAGGACAAAGGGGTGCTTTGGTTTATTTCAAATAAATAAATCACAAATTTCTTAGGGACTTCCTTCAAGCTTTTAGAGGAGCTTAGTCACAGTGTGGGAGATGCTAATCCAAGGTGGTTCTGTAAAAGAAACTCATTGTGAGGACAACTGGCTTCTACTTAATTAAAACTATTATTTTAACTTAAATGTACACCAGTAGTCATCTGGTAGTATAAATTATGATGCATTCATACAATGTATTATCATGTAAGTATTACAATGAATGAGTCACCTCTATAAATATAAACTTATCTCTAGGATCATTTTAAGTAAAAAAGGCAAGGTGTAGTTCTATGTATATGACATGTTATCATTTGTGTGAAAGGGGAGAGGGCTTACATGATAGGCTATTCATTGAAGAGCTCATGGAGAATAGCAAAACTGATAACAATTGTTCCTTCTAGAAAGGGGATCTATATAGCTAGGATATGGGGTGGAATGGAAGAAACTGACTTATCATGTTTAACTTTTACATACATACATTTGAAATTATGTTATATATTACCTATTTCAATGTGACACATAAACATTCTACTTGTGGTCACAAAAATAAGCCAGTAAAATATTTATTGCAATGTCAGGCAAAATATTTGGGTGTTACCACTAAGATTTATGGAAGAACAAACTTTAAGGTTTAACATCCAAAGATGGGAGTCCAACATAAGCATATTCATCCCATTGACTTTAGACTCTAATTTCCTTTGGAAAAAAAAAAAAAAAA